CCCCATGTCCATGGCAGACCCATCCTGGGCTGTGGCGCCCATGGAGGCCTCCCGATGGAGCCTGGGTGCTGGTGAGGGGTCCACAGTGACAAAGGTGCGCTGAGCCCTGTGAGAGCCAGGAGAGGGCCCCAGCCCAACACGGGGCCCCTAGAGCTTCCTGGAGGAGTTTTTCTGGAACCTTCACCACTTCTGTGAATCATGAGCTTATCAACATTCATCTATAGAATGTTATTTTCTCTGTACTTAGAATTTTTTCTTATTATTTTTTTTTTACTTCAATGACTCTAAAAGACAGAAAGCCTAAGAAGAAAGAGACATTATTGAGGATTTTGACAGAAAAATATTTTAAAGAAATGTCATCAAAGCACTAGGTGCCCCAGTTGAGCAGCAGACCTGGGTTTATGTGTCTCTTGGTGTGAGCCATCTGGTCCAGGATGGTCCACACACACACTTTCCATCCTGGGCAGGAATTAAACGCCTCTGGCACGGAGTGTGACCTGGGGTCCCCGCTCACTGGCACGGATGGAAACAGATCCATCTGGGTGCTTTGCTGGTGTGCCCGACATGACTGCTGTGTGCTGCCTGGACCAGCTGCGGGGTGCTTTAGTCACAAGGCCACTAGGAATAGGAAACCGGTCACTCAAAGGCAGTCATTTCCCTTCCGATGTGCTCTGTTGGAGTAAGACGAGAGGGAGCCTGTGGACGCAGTGGCCCTGAGCTCCAGGAAGGTCTGTCCAGCCCCTCTAGCATCTGGCGCACAGATCTTTTGAGGAAGAGCAGGACGGCTATGTTCCTGGGACTGGCGCGAATGCCTGCTTCCCTTGAGCACTAGCCGTCGCTCCATGGTCTCTGAGTTTATATAAACTATGACTGCATATTCCACTTTGAGGTAGTAAGTCCTATAGTTTTGTTACTTCCATATGAATTAATTCTTTCTTTAATCATCCTCAGTCACTTTCAAATGCTAGGGGACTACTGGGCAGCAGCATTCCACGGTGAAAACAGGACTCAGGCTTTACTGACCACTGGGCCTTAAATCTCAGGGCTCATCTACGAAGTCAGAGAATGATTTCTGACCCATTTTCTCCACAAGGAGATTATGGGATTCATGGATTATGAAAATCAGTTGAAAATAATGTGTAAAATGATTTTGAAGAATGTTAATATGCTATTTTTAATGTTCTCTAGTGCTAGAAAAATAACCTACATAAAATAGTTTTTACCTAATAAATTATTTTTCATTTATTTATTCATTTGACATACATTTGTTGAGCATCTACGATGTTCCAGGAATAGTTCTGGACTCTTGTGATTCAGAAATAAATCAGACAGCAAAGTTTCTGCCTTTCCGGAGTGTAGTTTCCAGCAGGAAGAGGCAAAAGATGAGTCCGTACACAGATACGTGATGGAGGAGCAAAAACTCATCACTGAACTTCATCAAAATCAAAACCTTTGCTCTACAAAATACCTGTTGAGACGATGAAAAGACAAGGAGCAAACTGGAAAAAATATTGCCTTCCACACATTCAACAACAAAAAAACTCGTATCTAGAAGATGCAATGAACTCTCAAAATTAAACAGTTTAAAAACATTCAGTGGGAAAATGGACAAAAGACATCTTTTGGTGAGACATATGTCTTCACCAAACAGGAAGAGCAGATGTCAGATAAGTACATGAAAAGACGCACAATTCCACCAGCCAGTAGGGAAAGGCAAGCTAAAACCACAGTGAGCTCTCACTACATACCTAGGCTAGCTAAAATTAAAAAGCAGTGACAACACCACATTCTGAGGAAGATGCAGAGAAATTGCATCACTCATACGTGGATGGTGGAAGTGTAAGATGATACAGCCACTACCGAAACCAATTTGACATTTTGGTTAAAACCTAGACATATAATCATCATGTGACCCAGCTAATCATACTCTCAGATATTAATCCCAGAGAAATGGAAATTTATATTCACAGAAAACCTGTACACAATGTCCACAGCAGTCTTATTCAGGGTAGCCAAAAACTGGAACTGCCCAGCTGTCCTTGAGAGGACGGGTAGTTAAACTGTGGTCCAGCTGTGCCAGGGAATACTACTCAGCAATTAAGAAGAATAAACGACTCACACACAGCCACCCAGATGAATCTCGGAGAATTATGCTGAGTGAGAACAGCCAATCTGCAAAGTTTGCACAGTGCATGCTTCCATTTATAGAACATTCTTGAAATGACAGAATGCTAGGAACAGATGAGAAGCTGCCAGGGTGATGGGGTGGGGGGATGTCTGGGGAAGGCGAGGCGGCTCCTCGGGTGCCGTGTGCTCTGTGTGTGGCTGGGGTGGTGGATGCTCACACCTGCACGTGGGATGGAACTGCACAGAATCAAACCCGCACTCACAAGTGAACATCAGACCAGGACCTGTGCACAAGAGCGGATCAGTGGGTGTCGGTCTGTGGCCATCTTGTGCTGTAGTTTTGCATGGCGTTGCTGCTATAGGACTCTGAGACAGAGTGCACGGCATCTCTGTACAATTTTTTTCCAACTGCACATGAATCTACAATTAATCTCAGTTTAAAACAAAAAAAAAGTGTAATATAATTTCAGGTAATGGAAGTGCCTGCAAGAAAAGCCCAGTAATTCTCATGGAGAGACTGGAGAAAGGGGGAGGGGGAGGCCCACTAGAGCTTCAGCAGAGGACAGAGTGTGGCTGAGGAAGCCGATGGGCTCCCACCTGGCTGGTGGGGTTTGTGTTTTGCAACTTAGCTGCCTGCTAAACACTCCACTCAGGAGCTCATCCTGTGGATTCCATTATAATTATCACAAGCAGCATGTGTGACAGGGAACTGTAAGTGCCCAGAGCCGCAGGTGCACATTCCTTCCTACGGTACCTGGATACCTGGGAGAAGGCAACACTTGGTAATCAGGTCACTAGTGGAACTCACACATTGATGAACTGTTCTGTGAATCTTTACACAGTGAGATACTTTGTTAAAAGTGTAAGAGAGGTGTATACATATATATATATATATATGTACACACACACACACACACACACACAGGCTTTTAGTAAGAAGCCTCACATACCTTTAATGGGCATTTAGCCAGTAATCCATTACTCCATGGCATAAATCTGTGGTCCTCAACCCCCAGGCTGCAGACTGGGCCTCACAGCTTCTCTGTCCCCCGCACCCCTACCTGTCTGTGGAAAAATTATTTTCCATGAAACTTAGGAACCAGAGGGGGAGCACAGCAGGAGGTGGGTGGTGGGTGAGTGAAGCTTCGTCTGTATTGACAGCCACTCCCCATCGCTTGCATCTCCACCGAGCTCTGCCCACCTCAAACATGGAAAACTTGTCTTCCATGAAACTGGTCCCTGGTGCCAAAAAGGTTGGGGACCGCTGTCATAAATGACTCCCAGATGAACGTGCATCTTGCAGTAGAGGTATTGTTGCCTCTAGCGGTTACTGTAGCTTCCTTTCCCCCAAGGGGGTCTCGGTTGTGAGAGGGTGTGTGTTCGTTCTTCCTGTACCTGCTGGCAGAAGGGCAGACACTGTGACACATGGACAGGTGGCCTCTGTGGATGGCCACAAGCCCTGCACATCCCACCTAGGGATGAAAAGGCAGTTCTCAACCGCCTGGTTTGTGATTATGTGCCTGGAGAATAGAGCCCATTCCAAATAAAGCCTGTCATTTTGTCCACAAAATGTCTTTTTTTCCAGATATTTATCACTTTAACAAAAAAATCTGTCCTTTCCCTGACAGATTTTAGTCATGCCTGTGGTGGAGGGACGGCAGCCTGCTCCTGGCTGCTCTTGTGAGCCCTGAGCAGTAGGAAAGACACTTTTCCCACAACAATCAGGGGTCTTATGATGAATCTGTCGAACGTTATAGTGAGCTTAAAGTGACAGAGGTGGACTACTAGAACAGCAAGGCATTGTATAAATTAGTAATATTTACAAAAGCAAAATATAATGACTTTTTAGTAAAGTATTGGCAATATATCAGCTAGAGTGGCTTTGATCATTAACATCCAATCCTACTACTATATTCTCAATCACTTGTTTTGCTTGATATTGGATCATTTATAAGATTTATTGAAATTTGTCTATTTGGTTCTCTTCATATGGTGAGAATTAACTTGCATTTTAATCAAATCACTATACTGAATACCATCTAAACCATTCATAGTCAATTTAGTAATATCTCAGAATAGATTCAAACAACTGTGCCCACTATATAAATATTAATCATATTAGTAGGATTCTTATAAATAAATCCTGGTTAAAATACTGTATTTGGATGTTGCTTTATAGGTACAACAAATAAAATATTTTAAATTACAACTTAAGATGTTGCATTTTGTTTTTCTTCATCATTGGCACATAACATGCTCTTGTAAGACCTTTTCAGTGGAAATGACCACAGTATTTTTTCCTGTCATTTGAACTGAAGAGAACAAAATAAAATAAAAACACACATGGCAGCCTATTGATAATACAAGCCAGGGGTGGGTAACCTGTGGCCTTCAGACCACATGTGGCCTTTTAGGTCCTTAAGTGTGGCCTTTCAACTGGATGCAGTTGGCCTAGAAGGCCTCACATGACCTTCAGGCCGCAGGTCCCCCAGCCCGGGGTAAGCTATGTGATGTATGTACGGATACATTATATATGCTTCTCTACCTAGTCTCTGAATATTTTATATTGTCTTAATAATTTCTAGATTCAGTCACAAAAATAACTTTTTCACCTAGTTGTGTAAGAATATGTTTACAGTTTTGTGTAATTTTTTACATTACAAGCAATAGCTCATTTAGTTTTCTGAAGGGGTTTTCTGTACAGAAATATTCATCAGAAGTTCCTTGGTTATGACACCAGACACTGTCTCAGGCTCCTGTGCCCCGGCTACACTGCCCTGGCCATTGCCAGGATGCGAACACGTCCCTCAGGTTGGGTTTCTGTGTCACTGTGAACATCAGTCTCACTGTTCTGTCTTTTTACCCTTCTCTAGAGTGAACACGTCTGGTGGAAGAGGAAAAAAAATGTAGTTCTGAATCCAATCAAGTGTTTGAATCTCTCAAATCATCAACAAAATTCCCCAAGAAAGTTCCAGTTGGCCCCACCGATGCATGGAGATCCAAGGAGCCCGTGAAGGTAATGATTCTACGTCATTCTGCATCGCGTTCTAAGCTTTCCATGCAGACAAAGGTTTTGCACATTTACTTTAAAAATATGTTACTTTGAAAAAGCATGAAAATACGTTGTGAATGGAGGGGTTTTATTTGATTAAAGAATATAAAATTTCTTGATTTTAATAAGCAAATTCAATATAAAGGTAGAATTTGTGATCTGTTGTTAAACATAGACTCAAGTAGCCTTCTGTTATCCATTACAACATTACCCCCAAATAATTTTGTAACCACATGAATGGGTCTTGTTCGCCCTTCAGCAGTTGTACAGAAGCTCCTTATACAAAGCTCCTTTAAGACAAGATCCCTATTTCCACTGTGAGTTCTAGCTGGCGACACTTTATGTTTAAGGAACTGAGCAGGTCTTTCCTCAGGGCCTCAGTTGCCCTGCCTGGGGTTCCCCTAGGTGTGTGTCAGTTACTGTTGACAGATCTCCCTCCGTGCCACTGTGGACCTTGAGAGCCTGCTCCTTGCACACTTCAGGACATGGCTGCTGCTTTTTAAGAAGAAACGAATTGTAGTAAAATACACATGTGAAAAAATTGACCATTTTCAGAGTTTAAGTGTTCAATGCAGTGGTACTAAGCATGTTCCCATAGCTACGCAACCATCACACCATCCATCTCCACAACTTTTTTATCACCCCAAAATCAAAACTTAGCCATTAATCAGAAACTCCCACTTCTCCTCCATCCCCTGTCAACCACCTTCTACTTTCTGCCTCTGTGAATTTGACCACTGTCGGTCCCTCATATGCGTGAGCTCATGTAGTATTTGTCCTTTGGTGACTTGTCTGTTTCACTCAGCCGTGTCCCCAGGTCTGTCTGAGCTGCGCCTGCACCAGAATCTCCCTCCTTTTAGCCTGTTCCCCGATTCCCTGCACATCTGTCAGTGGACCCCTGTGCACCGCCATTTCCGACTCTGTGAACAATGTGCTCTGACTTGGGTGCAGAAATGTCTGTTTGAGGCCCTGCTTGCAAGTCTCCTGGGTGTGAACCCAGAAGTGGAATTGCTGGATTACATGGTGATTCATGTGATATCTTTAATTTTTTGAGGAAACACCATACCGTTTTCCATAGTGGCAGCACCATTTGACAATCACACTGATAGTATACAGGGGTTCCAATTTCTCCACGTTGATGCCAACACTGATTGTTTTCTGTGTGTTGTTTTATCTTTTTAATAACCATTCTAATATATATGAAGAGGTATTGTTGTGATTTTGATTTGTATTTCCCTAATGATTAATGATATTGGATATTTTTGCATGCTTATTATCCGTTTGCATATCTTCTTTGGAGAAATGTCTACTTATGTCTTTTGCCTTAATCAGGTTGTTTTTTGTCATTGAGTTGTAGGAACTCTTTATATATTATGGATTTTAACCCCTGATCATATATATGATTTTCAACTATCTTTCCCTATTTCATGGATTGCCTTTCACCCTGTTGATAGTGTCTTTTGATGAACAGAAGTTTGGGGATTTTTTTATTTGATGTCATCCAGTTAATTTAGTTTTTCTTTTGGTGCTTATGCTTTTGGTATCAAAAAATCATCTCCAAATCCAGTGTTATAAAGCTTATTCTCTATATTTTCTTCTTAGATTTTTACAGTTTTGGCTCCTATGTTTAGGTTGTTGACCCATTTGGAGTTGTTTTTTCAATAGGTTTCAGGTGTGGGTTCAGCTTAAAACTCAGCATTTTGAAAGCTCTTGTTCTGTAGCAGTAATTATTTTGGTAGAATGCCAGCAGTGGCAAGATGTTCCATGTAATCTCTGCCATTAAAGATAAACTGCTCTGGAATCCCAGAGTTCACTGTTCATAATGAGAGACCAGAAGATGCCACAGCTTAGAGACTTAGGCAGTGTGGGGCATCCTCTGCGACCACACTGCATGCTAACCCTTACAGAGACTCCAGTTGGTGATTCATCCGCCATGTGTGTTAGTCTTTGTATAAAGAGACTTCTCACTGGTAGAACCTTGGGTAACCACGAACTCTCCAGCAGAGAGGAGTGGCTGCTAGTCCCATGTGAGAGGTCAGTAAGTAGCTCAAGCAACTGGACAAGATAATCAAAAGTTAGCCTTAGAAATGATACGATAAAAAATGTACTCAGAGAAAAGCCTTTGTGCACCACTACCCTTTTCCATCACAGGTACCAAAGAATAATGTGTATTTATTGATTTGTCTCAGTCGCTCATTCTTTCTACGATGTTGAATACCTGTTTTGTGTCAGGGGCTGCTCTGGTCTCTGGAAGCATAAAAGTAAATGAGACACAGCCCTTGCCCTCAGACACGTAAGGCACTGAGCAGGCCTGCAGCACAGTGAGGACTGTGTGCAGACTACTGTGAGCCTTCTCCTCTAGCAAAATGCTGTGTTTTACTCCTTTCTGTGTTCCTGGGCTGGGCATGTTTCTGGAACCCCCCATAGGTGCACAGGCACACCTCACAGAACAGCAGACGTCTGTGTGTAATGAGCAGGTGGGCACAGAGGAGATCCTGACTATGACCAGAGAAATCAAAGAGGTCTTTGCAGAGGATGCAACCCCAGAACTGGGTCTTTAAAGATTAGTTCATTAGATGAATAGCTCTGGAAGTGACTTACTAGACAGAAGATAGATACGAAACCTGGGACCAGGAGGGATGGAGGCATGGGCATGGAATATGGGTCAGTTGGCATGGACAGCTGCATATTAGGACAAAAGGCTTGGCTCCTGGTGGCATAGGTTTGGTGTCTGTAAAATGTAAATGGGTGAGGTGTTGCTTCCGTGGTCCGCAGGAGACAGATGTTGCACGAATCTTTTCATTACCCTGCAGTCGGAGCATGTTAAACAAGTGCTCCACACTAAGAATCTGCACTCCTTCTCCCAACCCTGCAGCTTGAACACTAGCTCCTTTCACTCCCCTGCCCCTCCAGTGTCCAGTGTGCTGCATTCCACTTTCTGGATTCCAGTTTTGTGGCCAAGGTGCAGTTTGTCAATGCGTAGGTGGCGAGGATGGTAGGGCCAGTCCAACCCTTTAGATTACAACTCAAAACCAGAAGCGCTCAGACGGAGGGCCCTTCGCACTCACTGCGTTGCTGAGCGGCTGTTGGTACGACCCCCGAGCCCCACTGCGGATGGAGCCGCACTCAGTTGTGCCTCCCCTGCAGCTCACCCCCACTGTGTGTCATCTGTCCAGGGCAGCTGCCTCCTTAGCATCTCCACTTAGGAAGGACTTTAGGGCTTGATTTTATGGAAGAAATAAAAATGCCCTGGCACAAAATTTAGATTTAGGGCATTTTTTTGTCCTCGTGTGTCCCAATTAGCCAGTGTGATTGCTGAGCCATGGGCACCTGTGGCGCCTCTGCAGCTGGTGCTCTAGGAAATCCAATTTCCCCTGAACCGGAGCCCAAAGAGAAAATCACACCCTGCATCCAATTTCCATGCTAAAGACTTTACTTAAAATAAAATCAATATCTGTTTCCCAAAAAACTACATGAATTGTGTTCTGAATGGTGACTATTTTAAAGGAAAGTGTATCAAGTGTCCAGAAGGAGAAATCTGCTCAGATAGCTCTGAGTCTCTTTCTTTGACCCTTTGAAAAAAATGTATTTAAAAGCAGCTAACCAATGTCACTAGGTTTAGTTCTGGAACTGCCAAAAACTACTTGCCTTCAGGCAAATCCCTTCGAAGTCTTAGTTTCTTTTTCTGTGAAACAGGGATAAATGGGCTAGAAAAAGGTTGAATCAGATGGATCACATGAACCTAATATAAACTACAAAAGATGATGGTCGTGTTTAAACATGTATTAAGCATCTAGTCCATACCAGGCTTGGTTCTAAAAGTGCTATTCAACACATCTCAGTTCCTCCTCGGAAAACCCCTTGCTTTTGGTGCCACTCGTGTCTATACCGTGATTCATATTTTAAATTAGAGGAAACTACTGCACAGAGAAGTCAGCTATTTGTCCAGCGTTACACAGTAAAGGGCGCAGGTGGGCCTCACACCTCAGTGGGCATTTTAACTTCCAAGCCGTGGTTGTTAACTGTGAACTCCCTGTACCATCTCTACTGAACCATATGCAGATATCACACATTATTCCCTTGTGCCTGCTCCATAAATATTTACAACACATACTACTTTTGTGCATATATAATGAATTGTGCGTATAACACGCACAGAATTTGTAACACTGCTAGGTTGCTGCTAAATCGAATTGTTGTGCTTCACAGCGCGATACTCTTAACACAACTTTATAGTTGATCATCCTCATACGTCTTTTCCCAGAAAACAACCAAGCGATTTTGATTATGCTTTGCAAAGACCATCTCTAACTCATGGAAGAATGCCTTTTAATTGTTTTCATAGTGACTCTTTTGCATCACTTCAATAGTAATTTTTATGATTTTGTTACTCTTCATTATAACATTTATCATAGGGTAAAGTTATAAAATATTATGAATAGTTAAAAATAAATACAGTTGTTTGATTTTTCTGGATGTAGTTTAGGAAAGAGTAGAAATTTACGTTTCTCATGACTAGTATTTTCCAGTCACGGCAATCACTCTTTTGGAAAGTAGGATACAAAATTGCTACTCCCTATCCTCCTATCCTGGAATGTGGTAGAAACTGCAAGTCATGAGATTTCTTTCCTCCCAACTGAAGACAATTAACTACAGCCAGGGGGCATTTTGACTGAAGCAAAGTTTGGGAAGAAGATGAGGTCCTTTGGGACCATGGACCCCTCAGGGGGCTCAGACCAAGAGGCAGTCCGATATTGTTTAGGGATTTAGACACCAGGAATCCACCTGGGAGGACAGGAGGCAAGAGATCACCAGATAAGAGCTTCTTGTTGCTTTGCTGAGGGTCCTGCTGCAGTGAGGGGCAGGCAGTCTCACAAGCCAACTTTGGCCTGCGATGCACAACTCACAGCTCTTGCCAGAGACTGTGTGAGCCCCAGAGCTCCCAACAGGGCCTAATGCCCCAC